TAGTAGTGGTGGTGTGGTTGGTAGTAGTAGTGGTGGTGGTGGTTGGTAGTAGTAGTAGTAGTGATTGTAGTGGTGGTGGTGGTTGGTAGTAGTAGTGGTGGTGTGGTTTGTAGTAGTAGTGTGTTGGTGTGTATGTGAGGTGATTGGTAGTAGTAGTAGTAGTGGTGGTGGTTGGTGGTGGTATGTAGTGTGTGGTTGTAGTAGTAGTGTGTGTGTGTAGTAGTGGTGGTGGTGGTTGGTAGTAGTAGTAGTGGTGGTTGGTGGTAGTATATAGTAGTGATGGTGGTTATAGTAGTAGTGGTGGTGGTGGTTAGTAGAGTAGTGGTGGTTGGTGGTGGTAGTAGTAGTGGTGATGGTGATTGGTAGTAGTAGTAGTGGTGTGGTGGTGGTAGTAGTAGTGGTGATGGTGGTTGGTAGTAGTAGTGGTGATGGTGGTTGAAGTAGTGGTGGTGGTGGTTGGTAGTAGTAGTGGTGGTGGTTGGTGGTAGTAGTAGTGGTGATGGTGGTTGGTAGTAGTAGTGGTGGTGGTGGTTAGTAGTAGTGTGGTTGGTGGTGGTAGTAGTAGTAGTGATGGTGGTTGGTAGTAGTGGTGGTGGTGGTGGTTGGTAGTAGTAGTGGGTGGTGGTTGGTAGTAGAAGTGGTGGTGGTTGATGGGGGTGATAGTAGCGATAACGGTAGTGGTGGTGATAAGTGTTGGAGATGGTGATGGAGATAATGACAATGATGGTGGTGATGGTGGTGATGGTGGTGCCAGTTTATCCTCATACATAATGTCTCCCTTACATAAGACAATGCCTCCCCTCTCCTCCCATTCTCCATCTCCTAATAATAAAACCTGAAAGCAAATATAACTCCACACACCTGAAGATAACGCGGTCAATTTAATCACTCAGGTAGATAGATTGATAGATAGATAGAGACAAAAAACAGACAGATACATCATTCAGCTGACATAAAAATACCTGGTTTAATCACCTTAATTGCCCAAATAATTAAGTGTCAGGTCACCAAGTTCAGTTAAAGGAGGTGATTATCCCTTCCCTTCTGACGGTAGGTAACGAGGCGGCCAGCTAATAGGAGGCTGGCAACACTGACTCGCCTGGGCACCCTATCTCAGGTATGGCTATAGTGACGTCACAACCACACAATAGACCTGATATATTTCCCAGGATGACCAAAGCCGTAATTCCTTACATTACTTAAAATCACTATATAAAAAAACACAATTTGAATAAAACAAATATAAAAAACAAACCCAAGACCAATTATTAAAAGTTTAATCTAATTGGTTTTTATTTGAATATATTACAATTTTATAGACGATTGTTTCCCAAAGGTTTTGCTTCTCAGGAAAAAAATATCCCCAGCTCACACGCCATCTCATCCCCTGTCACCATGACGACGGCTCCAGCAGGGGTAATCCTTATCAGTAACACCTGCCAGAATTAATAATGACGTCATGGGGACCACCTGTTATATGGTAGACGGGTGTAAGGGGAGAGAAGGAGAGTCAGGGGAAGGTGAGGTGAGGAAAGGGAGGTTTCGCGATCACCACCTGCCCCCCCCCAAAAAAAAAATGTATATTCTTTACCAGGTGAGTGTCCACCAGAGGTCCACATCTGTGAGTGTCCATCCAGGTGAGTGTCGCATATGTCCACCAGGTGAGTGTCCACCATCTGTCACCAGGTGAGTGTCCACCATCTGTCCACAGCATATGTCCACCAGGTAGTGTCCACCATCTGTCCACCAGGTGAGTGTCCACCATCTGTCCACCAGGTGAGTGTCCACCATCTGTCCACCAGGTAGTGTCGCACCATCTGTCCACCAGGTGAGTGTCCATCTGTCACCAGGTGAGTGTCACCATCTGTCCACCAGGTGAGTGTCCAGCATATGTCACCGGTGGGTTTTGTCACATCTGTCCGGTGAGTGTCCACCATCTGTCCACCAGGTGAGTGTCCATATGTCCACCAGCTGATCATGCAACAGCTCGTCATTCAGTTAATAATCCTATGAAGTGTTTCTCATGGGCGACAAGAATCACACACACACACACACACACACACACACACACACACACACGTACTAACAGCACCTACAAAACGAGAGACCGACATGAATATTAATTGGTTCCGGTCTGGGTTCGAGGCAGGTAAACAACAGGTAGAGGGCGAACACACCTGTTGAGAGAGTACGTCAGGTATAGTGAGGGTGAGACATTTTCACCATAACACCACACGATTCAATTAATTTCACCATCTTGACAAGTAATGCTAAGACGTAAGGATAATTTCACCATCTTTTCACCATCACTCGACGAGATTTCAGTTATCAGGGGTAGATATAGTGATAGTGGAGTCCCTTGACACCATAACGAGGCATATTAGCTACAGTGATCACAAAAAAACAAGCATTACAATTTTTTGAGGGGAGGGAGCCTGATGTTCTTAATGTCAGGTGAGACTCCTCGCTCGAGTAGTCATTTGGAGCAGTACTCTCTCTCTCTTACACACACACACACACACACACACACACACACACACACACACACACACAACCCGCTCCACCCTTCTCAAAAAATAAAAATAATAAAATAAAAGAAATAAATGAACCCACAATTACGTTACAATTCCACCTTACTATAAAAGCAACACCTTTACCTACATTCATTAAGAAGTGACCAAACCAGACAGGTGAGGAATCTTCACTATCATTAAGGCAAATATTACTCCCCACGTCCCAGCATCAAGGTGTGTGTGTGCGCGTGGGGAGGGGGGTTGTATGTGTGGGGGGAGGGGGAGGGGGTGTGTGTGAATGGTACGGGCATATATGTACAAAATATCATTAGAAGTTTACAGTAAGTGACCCGGGCGTGGTAGTGGTGGGGGGGAGGAGAGGGGTGAGTGGGGAGAATGTCGTGCTTTCAGCTTTGTTGTGAGAGAGAGAGAGAGAGAGAGTTAAACAGGTGTGTGTGTATTAATTTTCCGACAGCAGGTTCATCTTTTTTGTACGCACACACACACACACACACACACAGGAATTGTACAAACGTATAATATATTGGACATCCCAGCTTAGCTTCACTGCCACCACCAGCTTGAATCATCAGCTTGAGGGAGTTTTAAGCTGGTCGTGTCGCTTCTGTGTATAAAAATTATATAGAACTGAGAGATCTTAAGTGTCATAAATATCAACAAGACGTCACTTTGCATAATAATAAGAGAACTCTCATTTGACTTTTGTTGTTGTTTACTTACGAATATTTTGCAATTTTGTCTCTCATTTGATTTTTTATGAATGTTGTTCAATGTCGTGTATAATTTGACTTGTTTTTATTATTTTTTTATTTACGAATATTCTTCAACTTCATCTCTTATTTATTTTTTTACGAATATTCTGGAATTTTGTATCTCATATGAACTTTTGTTGTTTATTTACGAATATTCTTTAATTTCGTCTCTCTTATTTTACTCACTAACTTAGACCCCACATTCTAATACATAATATAATTGTACAGCACACAGCCATCAGACGAGGTAAACACGCCAGAGGAACACTACACACCTTTATGGCCTCCTGAGTTGACAGTCTTATGCAGTGTTTTTAGAAGTCACGGTGTTTTATTGTCTTGTTTTTAGTAGTGTTTTTTCCTCATATTTTGTTGCCTCGTGTTAATTCCTCATGTGTTTTTTCCTCCATTCACACACCTTTTGGCCTCCTCCTACACACACCTGCCAGACAGACAGACATACACCATTTCCAGCTTCCTAAACGCCATATCACTGCAGGAGACACTGTGGGTGGTCCTCTTCTGCTCCTAAATCCTTCAGTAGTCTACAGGGGCCGCCTGCCTCCCACCCTGTACACTTTGAGGACGTGACCCCCCTCTCACAAAACCCCCTCCCACGTATGCCTCATTTCTCTACCTCTTCCCCCACCTCCGAGGTCGATGTTACCCCCCCTCCACCTCTAATTCGTCTCCATTGCGAATTACAGTCAATGACGTTTAGTTAATTTTGTTTAACCTCTTGAGTGAGTTTGTGATTATTATATTTGAAGTTATTATCATCATCATTCAAAATTATTATTATTATTATTATTAGTGGTGGTGGTGATGGTAGTAGTATTATGTAGCTGTTATATGAAGTACTCGAAACTTTTCCTCAGGGTCTTGTTAAGGTATACACACACACACACACACACACACACACACACAGGAGCAGGTAGAAAGTGCCACTTGTCGCTCGCTGGTCACCGTTATGCTCCTGCCCGGCGGAAAGGTGTGATGTTCTGGTATTTGGCTGAGACCTGTGACGCTCCGTGCGACACCTGGCGAATGTTACAGGTGCTGTGACGTCAGGAGTATTCTATGACGTTATGGGTATGGTGACGTCACGGTTGTTGTGCTATAACGAACACAGGTATAGTGAAACCTCCATATAACGACCTTTTCAATATAATCCGTGAATGGGGTTTCATCTAACGGACACTCGATATAATGGATGATAAACCACTGCAGCATTTTGTCACCGCCAACACACACACCGCCTTTACCGACCTGACTAATATATGTCCTTCGTGTGTGAGGGATGTTTGTAACCGAAGCGTAAGGTTGACAATGAGGAAGAGTAGATAATCAAGAGACGAGTAACAATGAGAATAAAGAATAATGAGAGAGAGAGAGAGGACGCCGAAGAGTAAGGTGGGTGAGGAGGGAGAGAAAGGAGGAGGGAGAAAAGACGGAAGAAGGAAGAGATTGAGAAGGGGAGAAAAGAAGGGAGTAAGGGAGAGAGGGAAAGAAAGAAGGAGGAGGGAGGGAGGAGGGAAAAAAAGGAAGGAAAAGAAAGGAGAGAAAAAAAAGAAAGGAGGTAGGAGGAGAAAGAAAAAGAATGGGGAGGGAAGAAAAAGAAAAGGAAAAGGAGTAGAGGGAGGGAGAGAGAGTATAGAGAAGAGGGCAGGCAAGAGAGAGAGAGAGTCCCAGTGTGTCACCCAGCAGGCCGGTCACCACACCAGTCAGCCCCTCGCGCTCACCATTGAAGGACGCGCCCACTCCCTCACCTACTGTACTCTACACTCGTGCCCTTCGTGACCCTCCGCGCTCCTCCCTCAACATCCTGAGGTCTGGTGGCCCCCTCTTTTTAGACATCCTCTATCCCCCTCTTGAGTATAGGATTCCTGTGACTCACCAAAGGACACCCGTCAATTTAGTAACTTCGTCAGCAGTCCCTTCGTCACCAACCCTTAGTCAGTAGAACCTCCGTCACAAATACCTTCGTCAGTAGTACCTCCTTCACTAGTACCTCCGTCACCAGGACAGATAATCACTATCCAGAAGGGATTAACCTCAGGAGGCATTTGTGCTCTCTTCGTCAGCGACTGTCACGGTAAGGTACATCTTTTTTTACAAGACTTTAATATACTGTACTTTTAATACCATGAGGTAACGAACTATTAATGGCCGTCTAAAACAACTATTAATGGCCATCTATTAGAGCTATTAATGGCCATCTATAAGAGCTATTAATGGCCATCTATAAGAGCTATTAATGGCCGTCTAAAACAACTATTAATGGCCATCTATAAGGCTATTAATGGCAATCTATAAGCGCTATTATTGGCCATCTCAGAGCTATTAATGGCCATCTGTAAGAGCTATTAATGGCCATTTATAAGAGATATCAATGACCATATATAAACTCTATTAATGGCCAATTATAAGAGCTATTTATGGCCATATACTTACTCATAAGAGCTATTGATGGCCATATACTGTAAAAGAACTATTAATGGCCATCTATAACATCTATTAATGGCCATAATACAACAATCTTTAGTAATTGTACTCATGTCGTGTATACTCCCGACTTGCTAATGTTACCTTCACTACCACGCCCCCATCTGCCCCCCAAAAAGACATATTCATAGTTAAAATTAAACCATGATATTTTGCGTCATCACTAATAACTACCTGTAGCTAAAATTACACCAATAAGATAGTTAAGACAAGACTAAAAATAATTCAGTCCCAACTACATCAAGTCTAAAACAATTAAGCTATACTCAGAAAGCTAAATCAAAGCTAACATAACTAACATGATTTTAACACACACACAGGTAAGATCGCCATGCAGGTAAACCCGAGCTAAATTAAGACACAAATTAACATAGAACGAAAGCTAAATACCACACCACAAATAGCTTAACACAATCAAAACTGAAGCTATTTAATTCAGAGACATATTAATCAACTCTAAAGTATTATATTAGCCTTCATTAGCTTTTACTACTTTACAGCTAATATGGTTATCGTGTGGCCTTAGCTTATGGTCAAGGCAACAGCTGTGACATGGTTAAAAAAAAATTAAACAAACCCTCGTGAGAACACTGGATAAACGTTGAGCAGATCAAGATATCGTGTGGCTATGTGGATACAGTATTCGTTTCCTGCCCTAAGAGTCGCATGGATCGAACCCAAGGGACCCCCACAACCCAAGTCGACCCAGACAGACAGACACAGACTGACGACCCGGACAAGAGAGAGACAGACAGAGGACTCTCTAAACGCTCCCACACCCACCCACCGCCCATCACACCACCCACCACCGCCCACCACACCACCCACCTGTCATGTAAACCCAAATGGTATATATTGTCGAGTGTTAACCCAGCCAGTTTTTGTACACCCTCACCTCCTCCTCCTCCTTCGTCTTCTTCCTCACCTCCTCCTCCGTCTTCTTCCTCACCACCTGCTTCTACTCCTTCACCTCCCCCTACTCCTTCCTCACCTCCTCCTCCTCCGTCTTCTTCCTTACCGCCTCCTCCTCCGTCTTCTTCCTCACCCCTCCTCCTCCTCCTCCGTCTTCTTCCTTACCGCCTCCCTACTCCTTCTTCTTCCTCACCTCCTCCTCCCCTCCTCCGTCTTTTCCTTACCTCCTCCTCTCCTTCTTCTTCCACCTCCTCCCTCCTCCCTCCTTCTTCTTCTCACCTCCTCAGTCTCCTTCCCTCCCTCCTCCTCCCGTCTTCTTCCTCACCTCCTCCTCCTCCGTCTTCTTCCTCACCTCCTCCTCCTCCGTCTTCTTCCTCACCTCCTCCTCCTCCGTCTTCTTCCTCACCTCCTCCTCCTCCTACCCCTCCTCTTTGACAAGTTCACTTAACGTTCAGTCGATACGGTCTAATTTCTGGTGTACTAGAAACTATTACCTGAAGACGGCGCCGAGTCAAGTTTAAATGATTATTCACCGTCTACAAATTAGCGTGTGTGTGTGTGTGTGTGTGTGTGTGTGTGTGTGTGTGTGTGTGTGTGTGTGTGTGTGTGTGTGTGTGCGCTCATATTAAACAAAATATTCTCATCAGTTCTCTTTACATTTGAGATTCTGTCCATCATTGGCGACCATCCAACACACACACACACACACACACACACACACACACACACACACACACACACACACACACACACACACACACACTGAACACATATAATCTTCTCCATAAACACTACACATAATGTCAGGTGAATTAATACCTAGCAATAAAGGCGATAAGCTTTAATACCTAGCTGAGGGAGGTGATCTCTCTCTCTCTCTCTCTCTCTCTCTCTCCTTATGTGGGTAGATGTAGTACCTTCACCCCCCGGCCTTTAATGGGGGAAGGGAGATAACGGTAGGGAGAAGATAACAGTGGAGGAGGGAGGGAGGAGAGTAAGGGAGAGGGAGTAACAGGAGGAGGGAGGAGGTAACAGGGAGGGAGGAGGATAACAGGGGAGGAGGGGGGAGTAGGAGGAGGAGGAGGTGAGGAGGGAGGTAACAGGGAGGAGGAGGAGGTAACAGGGAGGAGGTAACAGGGAGGAGGTAACAGCATTGATTTAAGAGGTTACGGTCGTCTTTATCTGATCAATCCGGTTACTGGAGTTTGTTTATTTAGGCAAATTGAAAGTTAAACACCTTAGCTTTTTTTTACCTGTAGATTAATCACAATATTCATACCTGGGGGAGGGGTGGAGGTTGGTTAGGTTAGGTTAGCCAGAATATATAACTAATTGCAAAGTGATTATTTCTCTTATTTGGATTTTGTGAATTCTATTTAATTTTTGGAGAGAGAGTCAACAAAGTTCCTCCTCTAGACTCACCTGAAGAAATTAAGCTGTTCTCAAGACCCTCAGGTAAATCTTTCATAATAACATAAAGTGTGTGTGTGTGTGTGTGCGTTTGTGTGTGTGTGTGTGTGTGTGTCGTTTGTGTGTGTGTGTGGTTGTGTGTGTGTGTGTCTTGAATCATAATAAGAGTGTGGTCATGTGTGGCAGACCAAACACCATCATCACCACCATTCACCACCACCGTCACCACCACCACTGTTGGCCAAGACGACTATCCCATCAACATTCAAATCCGCCGTCATTTATTTTGTTGATTTAGCTATTGATGGGGTGGTGTGGGTGGTGTGGTAGGGTGGGTGGGGTGGGGTAGGTGGGTGTGGGGTGAGTGTGGAAGGTGGAGGGGTGGGGGTGGAGGGTTGGGGTGGGGTGGCAGGAACAGACGGCTGACGGGTTGGTGGATAGCATCTGTTATGATGGATGACTGGTATGCATGACGAAGAGCTGACAGTGGCTGACGATAGCTGACGGGTGACTATCGGGCATAATAGATCACTACTACTAACACTCTTACTCCACGGGCATCACCACCATGGCCGCCATCTTGAAACACTACAGACTCCTCCCCTCATACCAAAAGTAAACAACACAAAACAGGTCGCACACCCCACAACACCTCGTAGACACCACAGGTAATAAGATCGTTTTTATTTACTCCCTCACGTCCAGTACGAGACATTAGGGAGGGGGGGAGGTGTTAAGTGACGTAGAGAATAGAGCCGTAAAAAAATGTCATTAGTTGTCTCTTATGGTATAGTTAAGGCAGGAATCCCACGACAACAACAATAATAATAATAACAACGAAAATATCAACAAAGTAATACAATAATAACATCATTTTGACCATCATTCTCATCGTCATTATCACCATCATCATCATCATCATACTATCATCATCACCATCCTTAACAATTTCCACACACTTGATTGCTCAGTCTTAATAGCTCACAGGCCCAGGTGGGTTTGATGAGTTAATTAGGGAGAAGGCGTGAAGGTGATGCTTACAGGTGAAGTCAACCTAATTAAAGACCAGGTGTGTGCTGGTCAAGTAAGTCAGGCAGGTTCAACACACACACACAGGTACTGAGTGTGTGTGTGTTTGATGTGTTTATGTGTGTTTGTGTGTGTGTGTGTGTGTGTGTGTGTGGAAGCTTATTAAGACAGACAGACACACACACACACACACACACACACACACACACACACACAAGCTAACAGACACATCACAACAGCCCCTCAAGCGACAGACAGACCCTGACATCTGGTGGCAATAGATGAGAGAAGAGATATAGACATCGTGAACCTGACTTAGTGTGTGTGTGTTATTGTTATGCATCTGGCAGCTGCTGGTGGTGATGTCATGGGTATGTTGTGGTTCGTGGTTCATTTGTTTTGTTGTTGTTGTTATGTTTTTTTTTTAATATTCTCTTCTACTATTTCTTCTGTTTTTCGTTCTTCTTCTTCTTCTCCTCCCCCTCCTCTTCTTATTCTTCCTCCTCTTCTTCATTTGTCCCTCGTTCTTCTCTTCTCCCCACCCTCCCTCACCTCTCCTTCCCTCTCTTCTTCCTTCTTCCCTCCCTATCTACCATCTCTTCCTTCCTCTCTCCCTCTTCCCCTCTCTCCCCCCTCTTGCTCTTCCACCTCCTCCTCCTCTTCTTCTTCAGGCCAGAAATCTCACTCATGTACTGCCTGACATGCTTACGTGATTACCTGCTCGTACACACACACACACACACACACACACACACACACACACACACACATTTACGTCAACTGTAATCAAATAATTTTTTAACCTGTATCTGTGAATTATTATTTTTGTCTATTTTTCTATTTATTGATTTTGTTTATTGTCTGTTCTCAATATTCTTGTCACAGTCCCTCCTTCCAACCCCCCACCACCCCCCCTCACCCTCTTCTCCCCATACTATCTACCCATACCTAATTCCTCCTCCCCCCTCCATACCCCATCTTCCTCTCCCATTCCCATAAGAGGGTGTGTGTGTGTGTGTGTGTGTGTGTGTGTGTGTGTGTGTGTGGAATGCATGCGGCACGTCTTAGGTAAATATAATGGAAGGTTTGCTAAGTGAAAAATGCCCCGACGTCTGAGAATGTAAATTGTCTTAGGCGATACTTACGATAAACTGACGTGTGTGTGTGTGTGTGTGTGTGTGTGTGTCCCTTCAGTCCCCCACACTATAACATTCCTCTTATCAACGGGTCCAGCCACAC